ATCACAGGCGTTAGTCCCCAGGAGATAAAAAAGTTATTCCACGGCGATCACATGGATATCATTGATATTTTCACGGCGCAGCCGTGAAAATCAATGATATCCATTGATCCCCGTGGAATAACTAATACTTGTGTTTCATTTTGAATAAGAAATATTAATACAAGATTTTTTTGCGAATATCATTTGACAATAACAAATGTTATCACAATTGTAGACATAATAAAATTTTGTAAAATTGTGAAAATTACTGATATGTAAAGATTTCAAAGTTAAATTTTGATTTGAGCTTTGTTTGTAGTGATAAAAAAAAAAGAGCCAACGCGTGAGTAATTACTCAAAAATCCGCATTCCACTCTGCATAGCAGAACTATTCCTTGGACTCTTTCATCACTCACAAATATACAAAGCAAAAAACTTAAGTACATTTATTTTGACGCGAAAAGTCCTTCGATTTCATTTCAAGTGGCGTGGCATATCATTATCGAAAAGTTTTTTGTTCCGATTTTTTGAGGTAGAAAACTAATTAATGTTGTTGGTTGATGATAATGATAATACCTAAAATAAAAAAAGGGCCAAGCATCAGTAAAAAACTTTTAAACACAATTTTCGCATGTAACCAAGTTTTTTGATATTGATGTTTAAATCAAAAGGTCCCTTCAATTTTTCAAAATATGTTTTCATACTGTAAAATAATTCAAAGAATCAGTATCATGAACCCAATCTCTTTTCAATTGTACCTTTTAAGATTTTCCGGAATGAAGTTACCTAAACGTTTTAGTTCATCACTAATATTAGATAAATCATCATCCGAATCATGATAAATCATTAATATTTCAAGGAATGGACAATTTTGAACAAATGTGGTTAACTAAAAGTTAAAGAATCATCAAATATTCCATTGTGCATTGCAATTTTGCCAATAGCTTTAGTCAGCTCACATGAATTACCAGAGCCGATTTTAATGAATCAATTTTGAGGGTATGCACAAGGAGTTTTGTGATTTTAATGATATGTTCATTGTAAACGTCCTCGATAGAGATTTTCTCAAGGTTATCTAGTCTAAGATGGTTCAAAACCATCAAGATTGCAAATTCTGAAAGATGCTTACTCTAGAAACTATTAATGCTTTTAAATTATACATTGAGCCAAGAAACTGAACTTTCAGAATACCCAAGCCATTTAAGAAAAGTTGCTCTTTTCCAATTTTTCAGATGTACTGTTAGTTGGAAATTGAACGTCATTGTATTCAACTAAATATGCCTGAGATTCGATAAAGTAAGTTAACGTTTTGTTTTCTTTTAAATGACAGAGGGTTAAACTCTTTACTTTTTTAAATAAAAATTTGATTTGGAAAATTTGATTTATGCCAGGTTTAATTGAAGGAAATTTAGAATTTAATCTGAACAATCTAACCTGTTGAAATCCGGTAAAACCATCGAAACCCGTCTAAATCTAATTTGTTACAGCTAATTTCAAAAGTCACGGGATGGATAATCTTTTTGCAGATCGATAAAAATAAACTCGGTAAAACTCGGTGTAGAATTTTTTGAAAGAAAAAACATTGTCGCTACGTTCAGATCAGGGTTCCGAATATAGCGACATAATTTTTTTACCCATATAAAATGTGGTTGGCTTTTTCAAATCCTTATAAATTTTCTCGGAAAAGTCTCGGTTATTATCGGCTGTCCCGTGACTTATGAAATTAGCTGTAAAACCGTTGTAAACCGTTGAAACCGTCAAAATTATTTTCATCTTTTGACAAGATGGGTTAGATGAAAATTGAAATGCAGACTCACCCGTTTACAAAATCAAGAATTTTTGATAATTTTAATAAGGTGATATATTATTGCATTATGTGATAATTAAGAAATTTGCGGAGAGAATTTATATTTTCCTATTATTATTGTTATAAAAAAAAAATTTCCAAGTTGTTTTTGCTTTTCCAAAAAAAAGGAAATAACTTACCTTTTTAATAATAACTAGCAAACTTAACTATGTTGTAAATGTACAAAAAAAAAAATTATGTCATTTCAAAGCCCGTTTAAATGTATAGAATAAAAACATATTTTTTTAGTATTAAAATAAAAAAGAGCAAATTAATTGAATGCTTCAATATTCTATTTATTTTAGGTGAAAATTTTTGTTAAAATATCATACCGGAAAAATTTTATTATTATGTGATTTATTCGCTTAAATAAAAAGACTGAAATTTACTTAAGTATAACATAAGGAGACAGTTTTAGAGCGCAATATCAGAGAATAATTTAATTATCATATACAGATAACAAATATGATAGACTATAAAATATATCATAGAAACTTTATTTATATAATTACATTACATAATAATTCATGATAGACTTTATTTATGTTGATATTAACATAAATTTATTTTAATTATAAGAGTACAATTATACAACACATATGACAAGACTAAAAAGATCAGAAAAAAATATAATAAATAAAATAGGTAACTTACAAGATCAATCAACTATCGATTGCGTTCTAAGAATGGGCATCCAATACGATCGACTTCGCTACAAGGATGGGGGTATTCAACAGGACTCGGGTTGCGTGAGCACCATTCATGAAGCAGTTTTTGATTCATATGAGAAGATGCATAGCAATTCCTATTTCAGAAATCGCAGACCCTTAAAAAAAACCACATTCACGAGCAGTTAATTCGTTATATAATCTAAATAAAAATAATCTCGTAGAAAAGTATCAGACAAAACAGATCTAAATATCAAAGAGAAAAAAATTCTTGTAATGGAGGATATAAGCCAATATTCCACGAGTAAAACTATTGTCGATAATGATAGGGTACTACATTAAAGAAAAAGAATAAAGAGCTTACCAGCAGGTTAAGATTTGAAATCCAGAAATCAACTACGGCAGGAGCAAAGTTTTTAGAAGTTAGTCTCTCGCTTAAAGTTGTGACAGTTTATTCAAGGTGGGCAAGGTTCATCATGAAAATTTTTTTTTTTGTGAAAGGGCCACGAAAACGAATAAGGTACGATGAGAAAGAAGTGCTCAATAATTTGTCCGCTTCTTTGTTTCTATATAAAGGAAAAAAAAAAGGATAGTCACTTTTATTTTCTTTACTGTAATTATGAAAGCCAATAGGCCAAATTTGGAAGTCAATCAATGTTATTTTTAGTTATTTTGGAAAATGAAATATACATTATAACAGTACAGTAGCTAAGCGTGCATTAATATAAAAAACGTTAATCATATTAAAAAACAAATGTAAAAATAAATAGTTATAAATTTATATCATCAATTTCTTTTTATTTGTTCCAAAATAAATCAAATCAATTATTAAATATATTAACCTTGTGTAAATCTGTTCATTGTAATAAATATTTAATACAACAAATTTTCCAAATTTTAATTCTGTCAAGTCTTTTGGATTTTCTTCAGATTTTAAATTACAATTATAGAGTATCGAAACATTCGTTCAGAATCAGGTACGTTAATTTCATGCGATGTGAGTAGTCGTCTATTGAATCTAGGAACAAACTTGAAGTTTTATAAAATCGTCGTTTATAAAATATAAAAAGATGCACGAACAAAAATTCTAGTATCAATCGTCATTTGATTTACTTTATTTTAATAAATGAATAAGTCATACCTCATAACCACCGCTTATTTCGTTATAACGTGCAATCGTGTATAACCCGCCATTCTTTATTTATTAAACAAAATTCGCGTTAATATAAAATTTTTTTAAAATAAAAATCAAGGTCATGGGACCCGGTTTTATTTTATAATTATTTTTAAGAATACAAAAAATATATATGTAAAAAAATTTTCCATTCTTCTAAAAGAACTTTTATTTTTTAAACGGCATCCTACGTATCGATCATGTGATATCAGTATTACATCGTATTAGTTCATACAAATAAAAAAAATTTACAAACACCACGCTCTTTTGAACTTGGTTTTTTTAATAAAAAAACCTTACATCCTTTATCAATACCTCCTTTGTCTTGGTACCATACCTTCGACCGAAGTAAACCATTGGCGTGAAGATTATAAAATAAATTTATTTATTAAGAAATAAGTTAGATAACAAGAAAATTAAAATAATTACCTGGTAAATTCTAAAACCAATTTAATTCCGACCAGAATTAAAAGTTAAATTTGGATGAATTCAATATACCATATATGGAAAGATATGTCGTCATCATAGTAAAATGATTGATTACGTAGGTCGCGTAGTTCATTGGTCATTCATTTGTTTTCTCAGCCACCCTTCTTGGAAAAATTATAAAAAGATCTCCGAACCTTAGTTTGTCACCTTCATTCCATAAATTTTTTAATTTTGGTTCGTATCAGTATTTTTTTTTTATAAGCTCTTGAAAGATTCGAAAGGAAAATATTTAAAAAATGTTTATTCAATCATTTTTAGGAATTTTATAATAATGTCATATAGAGCTAGACCGAAAGTATTACGTAGAGAAATGCAAAGGCTACGACTTATTTCATCACTCACCGTTAACTCCCTTACTTCAATCCTTGCCCCAACCTCGACAACTGTATCTTCTATTCCCTCTTCTTCTACAGCTGTCACTTCTTCTGCTTCTACAGCTGTAACTTTAATTACTCCCCCTCCCACTATTTCAGTTCCTCCCCCTCCCCTTGTTTCAGTTCCTCCCCCTCCACCTCCCGTTACAGCTGTAATTTCAGTACCACCTCGCCCTATTGCTCCTATCCGTCGTTTCTCTAGGTGGCCAGAGCCTATGGATCTCGATCCACCAGGCATTTATGTAGAAACCCCTTATATTCCTCCCCCTAGTCGATGGCCGGAGCCAATGGATCTTGATCCTCCTGGCATTTACGTTG